CTGGATAGGATCCTTATCAATAGTTGTGTTTTAGCTACCTTTGATGAAATCAACTGCAGGCATCTCAGTAGAACTGGATCTGACCATAACCCTCTCCTCCTTGAGTGTACTCTTGCACACACATCTACCCCAAAATCCTTCAGAATCCTTCAACCCTGGCTCTCTCACCCAACCTTTCTGGACCTGGTCTCCAAGTTCTGGAAATCTACCCCTACCTCAGGAGGAATGAGAGGTTTATGCAACAAGCTACAAGGATTAAAAGGAGCCCTTAGAGAGTGGAACAAGAACATTTTTGGAGACATTTTCTTGGCAGTCAAACAAGCTGAAGAAGAAACCCTAGCCGCAGAACTGGCATTTGATGTAACGCCATCAGAACTTAATAGAGAAACCTGGTCCAAATCCAAAGCAAAACTCATCTTGGCAACCAACAAAGAGGTTGAATTCTGGAAACAAAAGGCTAATATTAGATGGATGAAGAAAGGTGACTCCAACTCCAAATTCTTCCATTCGTATGTTAAAGGAAGGAAGCATAAGCTAACAATCAAGCACATTAAATCCCAAGAGGGAAAAAACCTTACCCAGCCCCATGATATCCAAAAAGAAGCAATCAGCCACTTCTCCAGCATTTTCTCCAAATCTAATGTCCAAGGAGTTGAGGATATACTTCAGTATGTTCCAAGCCTCATCACTGAAGAAGAAAACAATGCCTTGGTTAACCTCCCTACACTGGATGAAGTTAAGGCTACGGTTTGGGACCTTGATCCACACAGCACAAGTGGTCCAGACGGATACAATGGTGATTTCTTCAGGAAAACCTGGCACATCCTAGGACCAGACCTTCTTAAAGCTGCGCAAGATTTCTTCCTAGGGATCCCTGTCCCCAAAGCCTATGCTACAACTCTCATTACCCTAGTTCCCAAAACAAACTCACCCAGCTCCTTCCAGGACTTTCGACCAATATCCCTCTCCACATTCATGAGCAAAATCCACACCAAATTGCTCACAAACAGACTCAAACCTCTCCTTCATAAACTCATCTCACCTGAACAAGGAGCCTTCCAACCAAGAAAGGATATTGCAGATCAAATTCTCCTCACCACAGAAATGTACCATGCCCTGGACAGAAAAACAAATGGTGGCAACATCATTATCAAAGTGGATATGGCAAAAGCATTTGACAAGTTGAGCTGGGATTACTTAGTGGCCATTCTCACTGCTTTTGGTTTCTCTCCCAAGGCCATTAACCTTCTCATGAGCAATCTCAAAGCCACTTTTTTCTCTATCCTCATCAATGGCCAACCAACTGGTTTTTTCCCTATGGAGAGGGGCATCAAACAGGGAGACCCACTCTCACCTCTCCTTTATATACTGGCTACAGAAGGCCTTACCCGCACCCTCAACCACCACTTAAACACATCCTTCCTAACCAGGACAGGTACCCAGACTCTCTCATTTGGCTTACGCAGATGATTTAATTATATTTACAAATGGTCATTTCAGAAACATCTTACGCCTTAAGGGAATCCTCAACAGTTATCTCCAGGCATCTGGCCAAGATATTAACCTCACTAAAAGCAATTTCTATTGCGGGAAAAATGCAAAGGAAGCAGCAATCTCAGCAACTGCAAGAGCACTACAGATGAAACAGGGCACCAATCCACTTCAATACCTAGGAGCAACAATCATTAAAGGGAAATTGAAGAAGCTTCACTGTGGTAAGCTACTTGAACACTTTGATACCCACCTTAACTCCTGGTACAGTAAAACTCTCAACCCCATGGGCAGATTAATACTCATCAAACATGTTCTTTCGTCCATCCCACTTCACACTCTAGCTGTCCACACACTCCCCCAATCCATCATCACTTCTCTCCATAAAAGAATGGCACGTTTTCTCTGGGGTGTAAAGGATGGCAAAATGAAGCATCATTGGATCAGCTGGAAAGAAGTCTGCGAAGGATGACTGGTCCCTCCAAACCCATAGGCCCGGGAGGTAGTATAGGTTGTTCGGATGAGAATGTTCGAGACCACCTTTTAGTTGTTACTGGTACCAGAAACCCGTTTGAAGTACGCATCTTTTATGGAATTTTGGTTGTTGAAGTTCCTTTCCGTACCTGATTCTGCAGTTTGGAAAAGGATATTTAGAGTACATGAAACTGCAACTGAACTCACATCCACAATCAACGGCTGTATGAAATGGAAAGAAGAAAACTTCACTCTTAAGGCAGCATATCTGAGTACCCTCCACCCCATCCCCCCTCAGATACATGACAGATTCATATGGCATAAGTATCAAATCCCAAACATCAAAATTTTCCTCTGGAAGCTCCAGCACAATGCTCTCCCATTCACACCGAATATACAAACACTTTCTCTGCCCATCAGGGGAATATGCCAGGCTTGCATGAACAATGAAGATGAACGTACACACACTCTTCTTCTTTGTCCCTTTGCAATGCAAATATGGAAGCACTATGCATTACTCCTCGATGGGCCATTACCCAGACAACACAATCACCCAACACCTTCTCTCCTGGTGGACATCAGCAAAAGGAAAAGGGTTCGAGGGGAATCTAAAGGCAGTGGTACCTGGATTCATCGCATGGGCCTTATGGAAGAACCACAACTCAGCTCTCTATGAAGGTACTCAAAACAATGCCCATCACCTACTCAAAACCATCCACTCCCTAATCCAAAAATGGTGCTGGATAAATCAGAAGAAAAAATGGCTGATCAAAGGTCCAAACCAGAATCATGAGCATTGGCGATGAGAATTTTTCTGGCTTAGTGGAAAAAGAGTTTTAGCCTCCTTAATATATTCATAACCATGAACTTCAGTTATATCTTTGTTGTATTTTCCTTTATATCAACTTTGGGGCCAGGTCTAGCCCTCCCCAAACTTGTTGTAACACCTCTTACTTAATTAATAAAAATCCTTTATTATAAAATATATATATATATATATATATATATATATATATATATATATATATATATATATATTCTGTTTTTCTTTTTTACACCTCTTTTTCATAATTTTTCTTCACTTTCTGAACATCCAAACGACAACCATTTTCTTTCTATTTTCTCTACCTTTCTTTCTTATCATTTTCTATCATCATCCAAGCAATGAATAGATTTACTCCAAATTTGTTAAATTGACCCTTACTTTTATATCTTTACTATTCAGAATTGATTTTGGTACAGAATAATTTTGAATGAAAAAAGTATGTATAATTATTTAAGAGAGTTTTCTCTTGTGGTAGAATAATCGTTCTCCAAAAATATGAAAAAGTTAATAGATTGTAATAGTGTCAATAATATTTGAAAAAATAATTTAAAAAAGAATTTAATGATATTCATTTTGTTTTCTTTTTCTTTAGCGCTAAGAGTTCTTTAGGAATCAACATTTAAGGTTTGTTTTGTTTAATTGAGAGAAGCATTTGCAATTTTGCACCAACCATGATAGATGTATTCCATAAAATGTAACGCAAATTATACACTAATGTTATGCATTAACATTTCGATGGTTCACATTAATACAATATGCTAGTATGATAAAAAAAATTGTACTTACATTTTGTATCTCTGTGAACTATCACCCTAGCTAGCACAAAGTGAAGATGAATACCCGCAATTTACAATTTAGAATACAATTTTTTGGGCACAAATAGCATCAAACTTCTTGTTTTGTATATTTTTTTATGTAATTTTTAAATATATAAATTTTATTTTTAAATTTTATATCTACAATCAAATAAATTGAATTGAAAATAAAATCGGTCAAATTTCAGAAATAGAAACGAGTAGAACATTTTAGGATGGAGGAAGTAATTGATTTTGCACTACTAGTTATTCTTTATTTCTTGTTGATTTTATCATATGTTATTTATCGGAATGGGGCGGTTCTGATGACATTGCTAAGCAATGTCATGGGATGATACAGGGTCCTATAATGCTCCACTCATAAAATTGACAGTTTTTACCTCTCCTCTCCTAAATCTAGTAAGTCTCCCACTCCGCCTCGCCCTGAACCCACGCTCCACCTCCTTCAATCTCATCATCCAAGTTCAATTGCCTCTGAAATTAAAATCATATACTAAAGCAACAAAAAGCAACAACTGCTTTATCACCCCGACGTTAACAAAAAGCAACAACTGCTTTTATCCTTTCAATGTCCCTATTCGGAAACAAAGGGAAACGTTTTGTATGTTCTTTTTCTTCCTCCTCCTTGTGCTAGATTGCGGATCCAGATCATTGAATACTCTGATCAGCAGAGAATCCTGTTTTGTTTCCGATCCGGATGATTTCACTCTGATGTGTGTCAGCGCAGGTGGAATCGGTCACCTACTCCCATCAATTCCAACTCTTCTCGAAATTGGGGTTTCTTGAAGGGTTTGTGTCCGCAATTGATGATGGAGCAGAGGCAACTGGGGCATCTAAGATGAGTTTCGATTGATGAAGGAAAGGGGTTTGATGGGGATCTTATTCTGCAAGATTCATTCGCCCTTCATTTGCTTCTGCAAGCCATCTGCTCCTCCCTGTTGTCTCTACTCTCAACCCCAGCTGAAGTTGGGAAATACGCCCCGCGTTCCTTCTTCCACTGTTGTTGATGCTGATGGCACTGTGGACTTTACTGGAGAGGCCGGTGAGGTGAATCCGCCACAAAGGATCAAGCAAGCTGCCATTAACGGTTGTCGTAGAAGCTGCATTAGAAAAAGCGGCATGCCAAAGCAGATCGAGAAGAAGAAGAAGAGTGTGCAGTGGGTGGATAACTTGGGGCAAGAACTTGCTGAGATCAAAGAGTTTGAGAGCAGGTAACCCATCTGTTCTTTTTAATGCCTTCTTTATAACATTGCCAATAAAATGTCTGCTGATGCTTAAAAGGGTTCTTTATTAAATATTCAGACACAAGGAATGTATCGAGAAACCATTAAATATATTCATTTCTACACTATGGGCCTTGCTCTGCTTTGACAATTTAATACGTACTCCCTCCGGCCCAGAAAGAGATGGACATTTGACTAAAGTGGCAAAATAAGAGAGAGATAATTTTGTGTTGACTTTTCAAGAATACTCTTGATGTGATGTGTAGATTATTAGGAAAAAAATATGATGTGATAGTTATGGTATGAAAAAGTAAGAGGTAAAAGTGGGTTTTTAATAGAAATGTGATGGAATTGGAGATTGTGGGACACCATTTTTTTGAAACGTGAAGGACTTTTTGGGACGGAGGAAGTACTATTTTGAGATTCTCATACCATTTCATTAACAACAATAACAACAGCGTACATTCCCAACTCTTTTGGGTCAAGACGTAGGGAAACCTTACAACGGTAAAAAACAGAGATACTGTTTCCATTAGACTCTTGATGTATTGATGCATTTACTATCCAAAACCTAATATGAGAAAAGAAGCAATGAAGGTTAACATGCTATTTCCATTTGGTCCATTATTTGTCCGAAGCTAAAACATTGCCAAAGATTACTCTTGAACTCCATTGGCCTTGTGTAAGAGTCAGTGTCTTACGTATTACAGTAAGGCAAGGATTGTACGAACTGTGAACATTTGATGGGCCCTTTTTTTGCGAAGTCATGAACATTGAACTTTTCTTGAGATATACTCCCCCGTCCCCGTGTATTCGTCCAGTTTGACTCAAAGAGTCAAACTGGACGAACTTTAATCATCAATAAATCTTAGTTTGTGTTCCATATTAATACAATAAATTAAATTTTTAATTGTTCTCAACAAGATAAATTGATTGAAATCATTTTTATACTAAAATATATTACCATTTTTTGTTTAATTGAAGTCCAAAGTCCGTCAAGTTTGACTAAAAAAAGTCAAGCTGGACTAATACACTTGGATGGAGGTAGTAGTTAGCAGCAGTCTGAGAGAGCAGTCAACACGACTATTAACTTTTCGGTATGCATTTTTTGTTGCCTTCTAGTGAGGCACGACCTTGTTATTCAGGTGATGATGGTAATTTGTGCTTGTAATTATGAATGCTGCAGGGTGCAGAAGAAACATGAACATTTAGAAATCTTAAGTTATTTTGCATCTATTTTAAAGAAAAACACATGCAAAGTTGTCGAAGAGGATATTTATTTTAACTTTTAAGTATGGTAGCCGTATTCCCTCATATCTCTCCCTAGATTAGTGGTTAGTTTCAGGAGGCTTAGATATAGAGTCAAGTCCTTGAACTTATTTTTATTCATTCCACTAACATTATTTGGATTTCTGTTTTGACACGCAAATCTTTCTGCAGTGAAGCGGGTGACACTGACAATGAAGAGGCAGGCCGACGCTGTTTTTGCATCATTCTTTGATGTTGTTAACCACGGCTTCATCCGGATGGCTACACTCTTAGCTGGCCATATCTCTGACAAGAAGAGTAGATCAGGTACTGGGAAATTGGAGAACTGTAAAGCTGTTCATCTTTGTGCGCATTTTGTTTTGGATTCTGTCCACAAAATAAGAACTTCAGTTGGAGTCAGATCTCAAGTGAAATATTTATCGAAGGGTTTCCATGCTAAACCTTAATTGTGGAGGTGAGCTTCCTACATCAGCTTTTTGCTGCTGTCATGCAGTGCACTCAAATGAAGCTTAGAGATCTGTTTGTACATTTGTACAATTATTAGGTTTATTCTGTTTTAAAAATCCTTGGCGATCCTTCATTTAAGTGGATGATTGTTATTAGCCTGTATTGATCAAGAGCTCAGGAGATTCCTTTGTTGTAAAACTTGATTCCTCTGATCCGTAGCCGCGAGGCAGACTAAGATATTCAGCTTATGGCATCCGGATTAGCGCAATGGCTGCCCTTATTGAAATGTACAAGTAATGAATGAACTAATTCCCCTTCAGTCATCACATTTTATCTATTTCTTTTGCCTGTTTCCGTTATTCATTTCATAAAATAAAATAGTCATATCATCTCTCACTTCGTAATTTTTTTAATGTATTTCTTAAAATATTTAAATTTTATTTTTTCTCTTTTTGAGGGACCTTTTTTTCTTTATTCCATAACAACTTTAAATAATTTGTTACTAAAATAAATTTAGTTAAACATGGTAAACTATAATAGGAAGTGCTTTTTCAATGAAGAGAGTATTTGTTTCTTAACAAATTACGGAAAATAAAAGCAAAGCATAATCATTTTCCCAAAATAGAAAAGACATACTTTTATCTCCAAAATAGAATTAGTGTGTTGTGACAATATGACATGGTACATTGACATTTCATAATATTTTTTGATATTTATGTTGGCATTATTAACATTATAACTCCTATTTTGGTATTAAAATTTGAAAGTTCGATTTTGATTTTTTACCTATGTCTTATTTGTATTTTAGTTCTTCTCCGTTGTCTTTTTAGTTAACTGTTTTTTAGTCCATAAAAATGCACAGCGAGTGAAAACTAGGGGATCTTAAGGAGTAGACTTTCCGTGGATCTTAAGGAGTAGACTTTCTGCCACTGTAACTAGGGGAAAACTCTAAGAAAAAGTTTTATGCTTTTATTAATAGAAAAATCATGGAAACTAGAGAGAAATTAAAAGAGGGAAACTAGAGAAAACTTAGTTGCCAAAGAAATTATAGAGGAATACTAGAGAAAATTTAGGGCCCATTTGGTGAGTTTTATAGGCATGATATGATGTGAGTTTTGAAATTTGAAAAAATTGAAACGAAGTTTTTTGGAGAAATTTAAAGTCATGATTTAATTAGTGATAAGCGGGGGTGACCAACAACGGGGGTGGTTGGCGTTAACAATGATAGCAGGTGGCGGAGAATGGTCAATGATTGAGAGTGATATCGAACTCCCATATGGATATCTCTCGAATTTGGGAGTCATCGAAGCCCTTCATTTAGAGAATTTACGATATCTGAAGATTTCAAACTTGATATCTCTTTTAGCTTACCCAAACACCAAACAAAAGGTACGGGGTACTGCCTGGCGCAGGTACCGCCAGAAGAGCAGCGGCTGACAGGAGCACCTCTACCATTTCGGCGAAACTTCCAGAAGAGCAGCGGCTAACGGAGGTTTTGAGAATTTTTCGACGAAACTTCCAGCGTCGATTACTCCTAACTCTGGCGACCTCTAATCGAATTGACAGCACCACTGTGTTCTTCTCATTTAGAGCAACTGAATAGAAGGAAAAATTTTGAAGAATGGTGAAGAATTGAGGGAGTTTGGATTCTCTTATATAGGAAGATGATTGAGGAGAAGACACAAGATGCTGAGTCAGGAAATCAATTAGCCGATCTTGAATTGACGGAAACCGGCTTCTGGGATATTTACACGCCGTTCCTTGATTGGGACTAATTTGGTCCAGTTGGGGTATACTTTTCGGTCCAACTTTCTCCGAATTAAATTCCGATTGAACAGTTGCGGTCAGACAGTCAAAATCTACACAATGTTATAATTTTAATTATTTATTGACAAACTTTTTAGATCACTTATTTTTAGGTCTTTCTTAGTAATTAATTAATTAATTATTAATTAATTAATTCTGATAGGCCTATTTTCGGGGCATTACACTGTGTTCAACATACTCTACTTAGAAGCCCCTTATCTTGGTTTCCGAACAGACCATGAAGATAAAACTTCGTTGGGGTCTAGGAGTCAATGCGTATGCAGTCTTACTCCTATATAATACAGAGACTGTTTCCATTAAACACTTGATGCATAGTTGCATTTACTACACAAAACTTGATTGGAAGTAAGAAGGAAAAGAAGTTAAGTGTCTCATTTTGATTAAGTCCATTATTTATTAGAAGCTATAGCATTTCCAATCATGACTTCGTTAGTTCCATTGGCAACAGAACAGGTTTCTTGGAGATTTTATATAGCCTAATTAGCATCAGGTACGTTCCATCTTCACGCTAACCCATTTTCTGACTGATAGAATATCTCACTCATAGGGGAAAATGGGTAGACTCGATGAGAGGTAATGTTATTTTTCTTCTTTTTCCTTTAAGGGTTTTTATATTTTGGGTTTCTAGATAAAAACCCCTAGACGCGAAAGTGAATGGCAGCTGTGGAAAGGATGGTGGCAAGCTTGGCTAGATTTTTCTCTAGCCCAACTGAAAGATCAAGACGATGGTGGGGTGCGCTAGGTTTATGACCCTAGCCCCGACAAGGGGATTATGACCACAACTACAAGGGCACTTGAAGTAGCTAGGCGAGGAAGTTGCATTGTATAATCTTGGCTTCTTTATAAGTTTTCATTTCTAAATTTGGAGTGATTTAACTACAGGTTTTGTCCGTTTCTTCTCCCAGCTAAGTATGTTATACAAAGTATGAAAAGTCTGGCAAGGTATGAGAGAACAAAAATAGATTACTCTATTTATTTATTTATTAATTTATTTATGCACGCAATTGCATTGATACAAATTTTGCTAAACTAAATGTACTTTTCTTCAAAATTTTATGGTACTTGGACGTTTGCTTTAGATATTGGCATGTAAAATAGAGAGATATGGTTCAATGATGGCAACTTCTTTAGAAACTAGCATTTTCATCATGCTATTTTAGCTCTAATTTGTTTACTAAATTTAGCCCTCTTTTCACACACAATTCATCCCCTACACTGTATTTTTGTCATTGATACTACAAGAAAACGCGAAAAGGATGACGGAAAATGGCGATGGAAAATTTTCCGTCGCCAATAGAGACGGAATCAGCGACGGATTTGAGATGACTACCAGACTTAACGACAGAAAATTTTCCGTCGCCAATTGAATGTGAATTCATACTGCTCATTTTATTTTGCTTTTTATGTTACAAAGTATATATACATGTATGTTTTGTGTATTGCAGCAAAACTACGTAGCCATGCAGGAGGCAGTTCGTGAAGAAGGCTTAAATGTGACACCAGATGAGATTTTTCTATCTACAGTCGGAGGACATGATGCCAAGAATCGTGTTCATGGTGTTGGAGATCTCGCACGGAGCCTACCACGAATGCATGCAAGTGAGGCAAGACGTGCTAGCACCAGCTCTATGTGGGACCCTCGAGATGATGAGATCCGGAGGTTGAGAGAAGAGCTAGATGAAATTAGAGCTTCCCAAGCGCGTGAATTATTGTCGATTAGAGAAGAGATGACCCGAATTTATGGAGAAATTTTCCCACGTGGAAATGGAGATGGCGGTGGAGATGGAGGAGGGGCGGGGTTTGCAGGGGCTTGTTGAGTGTTTTATTAGAATTGAAGAACAATATATTAAACTTAAGTTTTATGATTATGTAAGTGGAGTTAGATTTGATTGTTATGTTGAACTTTTATAAATAGTGTTTGAATTTTAGTTGTACATTGGTGACTTGAATATTCTTGGTTGTTTGGTAATCTTCATTTCTACTAATTGTTGTTGTTTGATGCTGGGATTTCTGAGCTTTGCTATGGATGTGTGCGAAATTAAAAAAAACAGCAGCTTCTTGGTTGTAACCTGTCAAATTGGCGACAGAATTGGCGACGGAAGTACAATTCCGTCGCTGTATGGTCAAAATGCATATTCCGTCGCTAAAACCGTCGTTATGTCTAGCGACGGATATTTTCCGTCGTAAGTTCCGTCGCTTATTTCCGTCGCCACTTCCGTCGTAGACTAGCGACGGAATGAAATATCTGTCGTTACATTTATTACTAACGAAAAAGTAGCGACGGAATAGATTCCGTCGTTATTTCCGTCGTTATCAAGATTACCTACGGAAATAAGGCTTTGGCAACGGAATATTTCCGTCGCCATTTCTGCAGTTTTTTGTAGTGTGAGCATTGGGAACTCCACTTGTTTTTAGAGAAAAACTAGCATAGAATGAGATTAAGTGTGAATGACCAAGTTGAGTTTAAGTAACTCAATTAACAACTTAAACAATTTAAATGCTTTATATAGTTGGGGGTTCAAATCATATTTTTACTCTTAATTTATGTCTTCCATTTCTATTTTGTGGGAAGATTTGTGATGATGTTTTAAACTTTAACGTGTATTGTTTATAGAGTTTTGAGTCTGAAGGCATTCGAGATCACCTATATTTTTTGGCTGATTCTTTTAGGAAAGTAAGGGTAAATATATATCCTTCTCATCCTTAGGGGAAGACTACAAAGTTCACATACATGTTTATAGGTATGGGAGATATGATTAAGAAGGAACATATTTCTTATACTTTTTTCTTCATTTTCCATTCACATTTTCAATCTTAGTTACTTTGGATGAATTTGAGCGGTTCATCAAAGAAACAGTGCTATGTAGATATGAAACACACATGTTAAAGAAATCATTTGGGCTTTAAACTACACCTGATTTTAATGCTATAAGTTAAACTTTTATGTTTCAAAAGTACTAAAGTTTTGAATATTGTCCTTAATAGCTAAGTGAGTTTGACAGTTTAGCACATATGAGACCAGAGCACATATCTCCACAACAACATAATAAAAGTCATCAACTAAGGTCAAGCAAATATCTAAGACAAACATTCCAAAGTATCAAAAGTTTTCTCTTTATGCATTCTTATCAGTTTGACTCGCTTTGATTGCATAGAAATAGATCCTGAAAAAACATATGTAGTATGAGCTAAAAATTCAATAAGAAAAACTTATATCCAACATAATTTTCCTCTTTTAGTTTCTAATTAGTTTAAAGGCAACTTCGAAGCGCAAATAGCAAAGTAACTAACATTCCCTTCTCTAGCAGAATCATAACAACATACACCCCTTGCTGAAGAAGCAATAAATTGAAAATCATCATACCTCAAAGAAATATAATCCACATCCCAGCATTAAAATAGCCATCTTCTTAAGAACCTCTATCAGTCTCCCACTCTTCTCCACATTCTTATGAAGGTGGATGATGAGCTGTATGCATAGGTTAGACCTCAAGGCCTGAAGTGTAACCTAGATTCTTACTCCAATGAGAGTTTTCTAGCTCATTGTCTGAGCCTAGCTTATTGTTTGAGTTGGAGCATCCATGAAAAGTAGAAGTTTGGGTGTTGGCTATACTTGGCAATCGGGTCAATGAGTTTGGTTCCGGTTTGGTTCTTTTCAGTTCGGGTCTCTTTTGAATATACACTAGTATGGTACCCGTGCGATGCACGGATAAAAATTTTGCCAAATGTTTAAAAATTAGAGGGAGTATGTTCAGATGACATCCTTCCCCTTAAAAAAAATTATCCCATAGTTTTGAAAAAAAACTATTTGAGAAATACAAAACATTGTTGTAGTATTATTAAACACAGAAAAGCCTACTGCCTAATTGCTAAAAAGCTTGCCTCAAAGCTTATGCACAATCATTACATAATATATAATGACTAACAGTAACGCTCCAATGCAGCAAGTCAATTCTAAGAGGCATACACTACAAAAAAAGGAGATTTGCTTCTACATGATACTTGAGAGGCATCACAATGTTACTTGTCTAGAAGAATTTTAACTGAACCCACCTTTTCACCAACTCGACTCATCCTCTCCTACATCCACATCTCCTTCCTTCTAACCTACAAAGGACCCTACTGGAGTTTTTCATCGCAACATTTTTACTAAGAATCTCTATCTTCACGAACTTTCTATCAAACTTTACATAGGTACACATATCAAATGGGTACAAAGTAATCGTATGATATTTCTAAAAATTTCAGAGATGTGGTAAACATCAAAGGAAAAAACTGAAATAACATTTTCAAAATTTAACAAATACAGAGTAGTAGTTTAAATTGAAGATTGCTTTACCATTGCAGCAGTGGTCCGGCAAGATTAATCCCTTTGTTCAATCTGAGTTCCTAAACAAATGTAGTATAAAGAGAAATAATTGCATTATCAAGAAGTAATGTGTCATCGCACATTAATAAGATGAGTTGATGGCTTGATGCACATATCTATCAAAAGAACACGGCTTAAAAGCAAAAGAAAATAGGATGACCTACTGGTTTGCTAATAACGAATAAATGAAATAAATTTGTGCAAAGATCTAAACTTGATCTACTGAGTTTGAACTTATTTTTTTTTATTTTCCTTCACATTCTATTATCATAGATCTTTGAAGGCTTTAAATAGGCCTTAAAGAAAATAAAGATGATAATAATTAGGTTACAACAACTTATTTACTCATGCAGATTGGAACTCAACAAACAGCAAATGTGCTTCCACAAAAATAAAAAAATAGAAACAACAAATCTTATTTTAAAATAAAAAACAATTCCCATATTTATATCAAAAGATTATACAAACAGGAATATCCAGAAATTAAGATTTTTGTAACATATATAGTATTCATTAGCAGAAAAACTTGAGGGGTTCATTGCAACATAATGTAAAACATTTGATGTGCCTTCATTGGGGCATTTTGTCAAGCATTTGGTGTGCCTCTTCCATGCATAAAAACCAAGTAAAGAATCCCAATCAGAGCTTGCAAAATTCACATTATGTAAATCTTGAGTGCAAGTGAGCAATCTATGGGGCAAAAGCTCACAGTCCTCAACATCAACAAAAATCTAGTAAATTGTAGAGGTTACCCGTGAGTATATGCACGAGTAAATTCGATCAAAAAAGAAAGTTGGTTTGAAATGATTGGAGACAGAACGATCGTGCTTCTTCCCATCTTCGATTTTCAGCACCCTCATCCACCGTAATCCTCTGTACCCTGAAATATCAAAAATTTTAAATTTAGGAACCAATGAATGATGAATGGATGAGGAGAGAAAATCTTAAATTTAGAAACCAATTAGCCATGAACAATTTAGAAACCAAATAGATGAGCAGAGTAGAAGAATAAATGTAATCTTAAATACCAAAAACCTAATGGAGGAGAAGAGGGAATCGAAACCCTGCGTGAGAAATGGCGGCGTGGATTGAACAACTCTCGATGCTATTTAGAGTTTTCAATAGTGCCAGGGGAAAAGGATGAATAGATGAACTTCCCATTAAAGTAGCCGACTTTGATTAATGGATGCGCCCTTTCCCATGCCCAAGTGAAACCCTATGGGACAATTCTATCTCATACCAAACACTATGTAGTATTTAAAAGCGAATAGTACTATATAGTACATTTCAGAAACATTATAATCAATATATAAATATATAGAATCAACAACCAACCTCCTAGATAAGGATTAAACTCAAAAAAAGAATCCATTCCCAATTATAACATGAGGGTTGCCCATGTTCTTTTGAAAAAGAAAATCAATTAAAAAAAGTAATATTCTTAAAAAACATTCATAATTCGAGAGCTAATATTCATTCTAGGATACTTTTTTCATCATTTATGAAATATGCTCAATTAAAGCTGTAGGATATTATTAAAAAGGGTTTTCATGAACCTTATAAATAGAGATTTTAGGATTTCAAAAATCAAAATACCAAAAATCTAAAAAACAATATTTTCTGATAAATTTCAAGGCAGCTTTGTAAATATACATATTTTAAGATTTTGTAAATCAAAACAGCAAAAAACTAAATAACTAAAATAAAATTAAATAAAAAAATACCTAGCCTAGCATTGAAAATTAGCCCTATGCAGCCGATTCTTCTTGTAGAAAGAACAACAGGAGAACTGAAGCGAAAGTCTGGAACTTGCTTATTCCGTTTTTTGTGATTATTCATATCAGAAGGTTAAAACAGAGAGATTGGTTAAATACTTGGATAGAGAGATGCCGAAGAAGATTCGGGCAGATACGAATAAATATTTTAAAAAGATAAAATAGAAAAGGAAGATAAGGCGTTACCTCTGTTTTGAATCTGTTTCCTCGGTGTTGCGCTAGTTTCCTCCATGGGCGAGGCTAAGCTTAAGGCCAGGTTGCAATTTCCGATCGATGCCCCTCCTTTCTCCGTTGTCCATGGCCACGGGAAGAGACATGCTTAAAACCCTAGATGCTTTGCCGTCAGAGAAAGAGAGCTTGTTCGATCTTTTTTTCACAGATCTAGAAATATGAAGAGGGAAATATGAAGAGGCACGGCGAAAAGCCCAAGAAAAGCTGCGACCCACTTTGCTTCTCTAAGAGCATTCACAATTGGCAAATAAAGAATTGGAATGCCACACGTTGATGTGGCAAAATTAAACCAATTAGAAACTACACAGTCATTTTTTAAATTTTTAATCTAATTTAAAAAACTAAAAAAAGAAGCGTGGCAGCCTTGAGTCTGCCTCACTTCCCGTGGAGGAACGCTCAAACCATGCAAGGCATATCTGATGTGGGCGAGGCATATCCATACGTGACAGCGTGCCAATTAAAATGGCACGCCATTGCCATTGCTCTAATACGCTGTCTCAAATCGAGGCTACTATTCTTTTGTTTGCAAACATATTCCTTTCTCACCATTTCTACTATACCCTTTGGGGAGCCCCTCTTTTGTGCTCAATTTAACTGATCAGGTTATCTTGAAGCACCCGCCGAGATATTTATCAGAACACAATTCTCCATTTTTACCTTTTTGTCATGAGATAAAAATTTATAATAAATAACCCCCGCGAGGTTAATCATTTATTTAGTAAAATTTTAGGGTATTTCATGGATAGAGTCTAACCTTATCCCCTCAGAAGCCTCGGCGTTAGGGCGTTTTAGTTTTAGTGGTGGCGCTAAGCCTTAACACTTGGGAGGTACTCAAAAGTAACTCCTCTTACTGTTGGGCTAGGAAGCAATCACATGAGATTCTTCCTACCCGTTCCCAATAATAGCGACCGGCACCCGGACCTATTATTATTATGCGTTCACTTAGAGAGGCACTATAAAAATAATCTACGGCCGAGATTTATCCACCCATGACCATAAAGCCATAAGATATAGAGATCTAGAGATCTATGATTCTCCCATAGCTAAAAAGAGTATAATCTATATACTTATTCATACATGCACACACCCACCCACCCACACACACACACACACACACACACACACACACACACACACATATATATATATATATATACCTATTCCATTTTATTATTATTACTCCCTCCGTCCAAGATTAAAGTTCTCACTTTGACTTGCCATGGAGTTTAATAAAACTTGAAATTTTCTTTGACTTTCCTAAAATACCCCTCCATCCCTCACCCCTTGTTTTTTTCCTTTTCCACCCATTTTTCAGTATGTATATCGGATGTCCCTCCAGCGCCGTAGAACCTCCTGGCTACTCCGTCACTATCACCAACGCCGCCTTGATGGTCTACCACATCAACTCTGGCCGCCGCCGCACCACTCGCCGACCCCTTTGCTTGCTCCTTCAATTTAAAAAAACACGAAAAAGGAAAAAACTTGGGGCTCCTTCCCTCCGATCCAACACGCCATCATCAATCAGCGCCTGTACTCCGTCACCACCTTCAATTTCTTTCTCAACGCTGACCTCCTTCACAGATTTGAGTCGAAATTCTCAGATCTGACGGAGATGGACAAGAAAGAGTAAAAGAAAGCAGAAAATTTGAAGATGGATTGGGCGTTGGTCTGTGGAAATTGAAGAAAAAGAAGAAAAAAAAAGGAGATCGGACTGCCCTATCACCTCCGACCACCGCCACCGCCTTGCTGCCCCACCTTTACTCCAATCCATGCTTCACGGCTTTTAATTTACAGGAAAAATCAGAAGAGGAAAGGAGAAGAAAGAAAAAACGAAGAAGAAAGAAGAAGAAAATAAGAAAAGAGAGGAGAAGAGAGAGAGAGAGAGAGAAAAGAGAAAGAAAGAAAAGGTACGGGTGGAAAAGGAAACGGATGGGGAAGGAAGAAAGAAAAAGGAAAGATAGGGAATGTGTGGGGAGGGTATTTTAGACTTTTGGGTATAAAAAAGTTTTCAAAAATAGAAATGAGAAGATTATTTTTGGACGGACAAAAAAGGAAAGTGAGAACTTTATTTATGGACGGAGGGAGTATTATTATTGTGGTTCTCCCCCTTTACTACCTAGTGTCCCCATACTTATATGTATGTTTATTTATTTATTAGGAAAATCTTTACTTCATAATAATAATTTATGCTACACATACCATCTGAATATTCAGTCCTTGATAATATTGGAAATGTAAAATTTTGAGTATTACATTTAGAACCTGTTGAAGCTTGTTCTTTCGAAATTATTGTTGTTTTGATGGATAAAAATGGAGCTGGTGCATAATTGGGTTTCCCCACGATAGACGGTAGGTGGGTACCGTGTAACACCCCAAAACCCGGCCTATGAGAATTAATTAATTAATAATAGGTAATTAATTACTAAGACGGACTCGGTGGAAATTATGAAATATTCTTCGTTTGACAATAAGGTTTATACCGTTGTGTAGGATTCCATGGAACGAATCCAACGGTGCAATCATATTTGGATTTGGAGCCCGTGGGCCCGGAAAGTGCGTTTGGGCCAGGTATTAAGGTAATACGGAGCCCTAAACCCCAAAAGTTTAAATATACTCCCTACACGCCTAAAACCCTTTACGCATCCCATATTATTATTACCTAAATCGGCTCTCTCTCTCTCTCGACTCTCTCCTTGGCCGGTCGAAGAACAGCAACGGCGCAGCAGGAAGAAGAAAAGAAAGAAAAGGAAGAAGAACAAAAGGAAAAAGAAGAAGGGAAGTCCGTCGCCGTACAATTTCCTCGTCGTTGGTTTTATCTCGCAATTGGTAACTTCAAATTTGAGGTGAGTACATGGACATCTAACATATGGTTATAGTCGTAGGTTTGAATCTTACGTTCGTAAAATCGTTACGGTTGATATATCTGGACCTTACGTGAATTATATCTTGTTTATGTCGTTGACGATTCAAGAAGCATGATTTAGTTTAGGATTGTTTAAAAGCCTGTTAGATAATGTTTGATTATCAATTTAGAACTTGTTGAAGCTTGTTCATTCGAAATTAATGTTGTTTTGATGGGTAAAAACGGAGCTGGTGCATAACTGGGTTTTGCCGCGACAGACGGTAGGTGGGTACTGTGGACACGGTAGCTGGCTACCGCCAATCGTCTCATTTTTCCTTCGCTCTGTCGGTACCAAGGTACCGGGTGGACGGTAGGCCCTACCGCTGGGTCGGTAGAGGCTACCGTGATAGCCTACTCGAAGGGAGCCTTCCTGTTACACGGTTGGTACCCACGTGCTGTGGGACGGTACCCTGGTACCAAAGGGTCGGTACCCCCTACTGCTAAGAGTACCGTGAGGTACCTGAACCGATTTGAATTTCTGTTTGCGTCAAGGATCGATTCCGAGACTTCGTGTGTTCCATGACGGCAAACACGGGTGTCAACACCAGTGTTAGGCCGCTGTTTGAGCATGATGAACTTGATAATTGATACTCGTTTGATGTATGAATATTATATTGTGGTTGGCTAATGAATAAAGGATGAAATACGTAGAATGAACTCTAGGGACTGACTTGAATGGATTAGTGGCAAGTTATGCCATAAGTTAGTTAGTAAGAGTCATGTGGTATATGCTGGGTCCAATGGTTGTTCGGGTAAAAACGTGTACACGGGGATCTAAGAACTGTCATTCTGAAGGGGACAGGGATCTCACCCACCCAACGAAGAACTCCTGAGTTGGTTTGAGCTTGACCTTCGTTCTGAAGTGGAAGGTCATGACTCTCATAGGCAAGTCGAATACAGTTCAGCTTTAACTTAGAATAGGTTGAGAGACAAGTACGAAAAGAAAGTAAAGTAAATTAAGAGGAAAGAATCTGATGTTATATCATTATTATTGTATCTCTTGAATGGCGATGTTATTGATTATGGATGTTATATCCTGTATAATGTCATGATTGTTGTTGAGCATGTTGCGTGCATGATATCGTATGATGATATGGGCTAGTGAGATCATCTATGGGTATAGTTGTATGTTATATATTTCTCACTTAGCTTCAATGCTGAACATGTAGCGTTTGCTCCTTTGCTACATGTAGGTAATCTAGGGAATGATGAACTAGGAGCCAATCCCGGAGGGCAATGAGGATGCTGAGAAGTGTGTGGTGGTACTCGATGAATTTGAACTAATACTTATTTTTTACATAACTTAGTACTATTTCGGGCATGATTCCCAAGTTGTGTTTTGAATTATGAATTAAGCTTCCACAATTATTTTGAGTATTACTCCGATGAATGTTAAACTATGTTTAGAAATGTTTACTTGAATTGTTTTGAAAAGTTAAGTAGTGTTTGGATAACAATTTAGTAGCAACTCGTTTGCAGATCCGAGTATTCAGGTTATGCAGGTTGGGGTGTTACAGAAAGTGTGTTATAACATCATCTCTATCACAAGAACACACACAGAATATAAAGTAAAAGTGGTAACAGTACACGAGAATTGTTGATGCAGTTCGGAGCAACTCTCCTACGTCTGCGGGGCCCACGTCCGTGTAACAACTCTTCCACTAAATCACCATAAGAATGACACAGCCAATAGCAAGAGAACCTTCTAATGTATTGATTTGTCTACATACGAATGACTTGACGAAAAACTCTATCTCCAAGGACGTAGATTTCATACACCTTCACACAATAGTTCTGCCTTTCTCTAAAAAATTATGCAAGCTGATTCGAAGCTCATAAATCAGGATTGAACTGCTGGAATTCAATCTCCATCGTTAAGATTGAATCTCCACGAGCCGTTAGACTCCTCCTAAAATTTCAGCACGAACGGATAAGATTTGGTACTCCAACCATCGACAAAACCAGAGCAGCATTTTTTTTTAAAACAACCAGCAACAATATGTAGATTGTAACTTTGATAACAGAAGATTCGTAACTCCGATTGACGTGAAAATTAAACACGTTGACGCCCTATGTGTTGGGAACACTCTCCAAAAAATTCAGCAAAATCCAACTGTCGGATCTCCAGCGATGATCAAATTCGTGCAGGCGGTTTGAGTATTTTTCTTCCGATCGAACTTGCTTATGTTTTTACCGTCTTTTCGTACACTCAAACCATAAGGTAGGGAGAAGATAATATATGGAATATAATAACCCTGTTAGAGTGTACTTAGGAGTCTCAGCCATGGCTTCCTCCTCAAGATTAGTATACCAAGTAAGATTAGAATTATCTCTTTAAGCTCTTTGCTCTTTCTCTTTCTTCACATTCTAAGACTTTAAGTCTAAATAAAACATCTAAAATAATTCTAGTTAAATCTATTCGTTTGTCAAAAAATAATGCCAACACAATATAGAACTAACAATCTCCCCCTTTGGCAATTTTTTGACAAAAAAGAATCTTAGTTGTTTTGAACCTCTTCTCCCCCTTTTTGCATTAAAAGTTCCAAAGATTTTATTAAGAATATTGGGGCAAAAAGAGAAGAGTAACATTCAAGCGAGTTTGAGTATTACAACATTGAATACCAAAACAGACCTAGACTTTGTCATATCAACCTGTGCCATACTTAAGCGACTCCCCCTCGGACGATCTATCTGAAAAAGTAATAATATGCAAAAATAAAAAGACATATATACAACCAGCAAAAACATTCATGCTCTAAGGTATTCGAGGCTGGTGATGAAGCACCTCTTAGAGCATCCTCTAAATCAGGTAGAGATGGGCGTGCACAGACCCAAGCGGGATCTGAGTATACCAAAATGATTACCATCAAATGCTCTTTAACACATGCCCAATGCCCGTTTTTTCATAGCCATAAACTTCACACTCTCATGACTAGGAGGATGTCACATCATCACAATGATCTATTTTCTTTTCTCCTTGATGCAAGCTTGCACTACCAACATGGAATTTATCAGGAGCAACATCCTTCACACAAGGATTATCACTTGTTTTGTTCTGATTCTTAGGTACCCAAATCATCCTTATTGTCACATTCTTTTTTCTGTATCTTTGCTCTTTAAAAATCTTGCATTTCCTTTGAATGTGTTCCCTTTTTCCACAGCAAAAAAAAACATAATTAGCATAGGCATTAATATAAGAATACCTTTCAGGTTTAGGATAATGATCCTTGTGTCTTCTCATACTAGATTGGGTCACAACTCCTTGCCTTTTCCAGCAGATTTGGCAGTTTCTAGTTTCCTTCTTTGTGGGGCCTTTTGAGAAACTTCGTTTCTTTGATCAACAAACAAGTCAAGTGGGGTCTTGTTGCTTTCAGAAGCTGAAAATACGAGACCCGTCTTGTCTCCACAAAACTTTGAAATGTTCACTTGTTCCTCAATAGCTTTTGCTCCAGCGCTCCTCATCCACTGGTGAAAGTTTTTGAGTTGATTTAATTCATACTTGAGATCAGATTGTTTCCCTTTTTGTTCTTCAATCTTCTTTTCTAATTCTGAAATGCCCTCCTTTAGTCTATTTCGCTTGGCAACAAGCTGATGGTTCTTTAAGACAGTTTTCTTGTTTGCTTGAAGAAGTTCTACCCACTTCCTTTGGAGAATAGCTAGCTCTTCTGCTGTGTCAACCTATGTGTCATCTTCTGTATCATCCTCTCTGTCATCCTCTGCTGTAATTTTACCTTTGCATCTCTGTAACTCTTTAGTGAGTTGTTCCACATCGCGTTTGAATTCATCAAGTTCACATTTGAGACTATCATTTTCCAAATACTTTTTCTTGTTGACCCGTAGAGACTCTTGAAATTTTTCTTCAACAATTATAAGCATCTCCTTTGGATCAACGTCACCATCAGAACCATCATCATTACTGTAGAAAGTTGGAAAAGCACATCATGTTCAGACACTGTCTTTAATACACTGCTACTCTTTTTCAACGAGAATGACACGCTTCTTTTTACGCCGTAGATCTTCATGCATCTCCAACTCAATGGTTTCTATGTTCCCCATCAGCTCATCAAGAGACATAGTATTGAGAGATTGGGTTTTTCTAATAGCTTTGACATCCATAGAGTATTTTTCTAGAAGAGAACATAGAACTTTCAACACCAGCTTGTGTTATGTAATTGGTTCACCAAGCCTTTCAGCCTCATTTTCCAACTCTCTAACTCGCCCATGATAATTTGTGATAGACTCAACATCCTCCAACTTAAGATTTTCAATTTTAGACATCACGATCTGAAGTTTGGTTGTCTTAAACGTTGTAGTGCCTTCATGAGTAATAAGCAAAATGTCCCAAGCTCTCTTCGCCTCTGTGCAGTTTGAGATAAGACAAAATTGATTTCTGTAAACCACTCCGAAGATTGCATTCAAAGCCTGATCAATTGATTCTGCAGCATCCTTTTCTTTCTTGCTAAATCTTTAATAAGGTTTCTGAATTAGTTCTCCATCTCCATTGGTCATTGTAGGTGTAACACCCTAATCCATTCAGGTCTGCAGCCCCTTTCGAACTAAAGTATTAACTTGGTAATCGTAAAATTTAAAACTTTTCAAACATTTTTATTTATCACAGTAACTATTTTCATAATATAAACAGTACGGAGTTTTCAATATTTTGGAAGCTTAACAAATCATAATCAGAAACATAATTTATTATTGTTCTTCAATTTAAAACCATCACATCCATTCCAACAATCCCGCCTCCGTCTGCCTCCAGGATCACGTCACATCATTCTTTATATTAACCTGCGTGTAGCAAATAAAACATACTACACGCTCAGCGTTGAAGCTGAGTAAGCATATCTAATGCGTCGAACATCCATATAAACTGAATCTCAATTCATAATCGAATCATTTGATATCATGCACATAATGTTCAATTCAGATAATCAATATTTAATATTCATCATTCGTTATTCACCATTTATATTCATATTCAACGTTCATCGGTCATTCATAATATCCACAATATTTAATTCAAGTCGTTTTACGTTCATGATATTCACAATATTCAATATTCATTCATATTCAATATTCAATCATTCAATATTCAACAATATCCTTACATTATTCTTAGTCTAAGGCCAATCACTTTAATGTTTATCAACCTTTAAAGGAATTCTAGTGCCACTCCTACAAAAACTGGATTTCCCATCGCCTTTTAAACATCGGTTTTCAAAATTTGGCTGTATAAAGAATTGCACTTAGACCCGTATTGGGGTTGGCCCGATTCAACCCCACTTCCTCATTAATACCAACCAAGATTTCACTCCCCTAGGGCTCCGCAGGCGGTGAAGGCTAAGCACTTTCGATTCCTGTCATGCCGATCTCAAATCCGATGGATTCCGATACAGAGATAATCATTAGAAACATTCTCAGTTGAATTCCGGTGAAATCCCTAATCCGATTCCAGGTGATAAAGTTCTTGTTCCTATCTCCTTTTTCGAGCGAAAAATACTCCACATCCGAAGGAGCTACCTTTGCTGTTACATTTACTGGATTGTGAATTGCAGTCCCGACATGTGGAGAAGCAACTGCCGATCATAGAGCTTGTTTCTGCGAACATCGTGGGATCCTGCAACGACCTTATCTGCTTGAAAATTGATATGGTAATGTATCAAATAGAGAAGAGAGATTGAGAAATTGGGGAAAGAAAATGAAGATTTTGAGAGAAAGAGAGATGGGGAAGAAAAGAGAGATGAGGGAGAAGGGAAGAGAGGAGCCGCACGGCTAGAGAGGAGAGGGGAGAGAGATTAGGGTTTAGTAGTGAAAATTTTATTGTTCTTCATTCATGATATTCTAAAGGGGATTACAACTCAATATATAGATGAAGATGGTAAACTCTAACCCTAGAAAACACCCAATCCCTAAGCCTGGCGGTTCAATAAAAGCGTCGAGGTAAAGAACCGAAAAGAAACCCTCGAAGAAGTGTTACAATTCCACTCAACAATAAAAAGTAAGTAAAAACTATACAACTAAACTATTAAACTATCTAATTAACTAATTAATATAAATTATTAATTAATCTTTCTGTATCACTGCCGCCCCGATAGAGACACACCTTGTCCTCAAAGTGTAGCTAGTAAAACAAAAAGTGTGCAATGACTTCATACATGCCATATACGGTGGGGGATCCCATTCAAGCTTCAAAACAGGAGACGGAACGACAAACAAAAAAAATTGTCCACCTTTGAACCAATCCCCATATATTTGGCAAGGCAAAGAAATAATTTCAAGCAAGGAGATGCGGCAGGGTGTCTCGAAATAAACAGAATGTGGCCAGCTACCACCCTCAAGTAAAACAGGAGTCCTAACTCTTGATATCATGCCCGTCAATGGGAGGACCCTATGGTGAGAAACATCGGTTGGCAATACAAACGAGTCCATCATGCTTACGTCCATCTCGAATGTCTTGTCACAATTAGCAGAAACAACAAGAGGAACATCATGAGAAGTACCTACACAATCAATAATCTCCTCTTTGGTTGTGAATGACGGGAGCTCTTCAACTGAGTCACTTGACTCCTCTTCGTTTGTTGCTTGTTTAATGTTGGACGGGCGACCAGTATGGCGAATTCCTGTAACCCTATAGAACCACGTCGCAAATTCTGGTTCGGGAGCACGATCATCAACTAAGGCATGAAAGGGTGAGGAATATGGAAAAATAGGGTCAGACCTTAGTAGTGCCGATGGTTGTGACTTATGGATCGGTTGACGCTCCAAGAATGAACAAAGATGATCAATCTTTTGATAGAGATTAGCCTCTTCCTGTCGAAGAGTGTGAATCTCGAGGGCGAGATCCCTGACGGCGAACCAAACATCATTCCAAGACGAAGTGGTGGAAGGTGGTGTCTTAATCCAAGAATTTCCTGCCATAAAAATATATAGAGAGGAACTGTGGGCTCGAGAAAAAATCCAGGCGGCCAAATTGAATAACCAATTTTGGTGCAAAAGTGGCTTGTGTTATTTTTCTCTGTTTCCTTTGTGTTTTTTTTTGTTGTTGCAAATCCACCCCACTTGTGCAAAAGAAATAAGTTGAGATTCCAAGCACTCCTTACCATGGAAGGACCTACCACTACATTGCCGTTGCCAAAATAGGAGCCAGATTAAACTGCGGCGGTGCACTACTTTGTGTAAGGTGTCGGCGCTGATTTTTTTTGTTTTGAGTTCAAGAGAATGAAAGCACCAATTGATACGGTAACGTATCAAATAGAGAAGAGAGATTGAGAAATTGGTGAAAGAAAATGAAGAATTTGAGAGAAAGAGAGATGGGGAAGAAAAGAGAGATGAGGGAGAAGGGAAGAGAGGAGCCGCACGGCTAGAGAGGAGAGGGGAGAGAGATTAGGGTTTAGGAGTGAAAATTTTATTGTTCTTCATTCATGATATTCTAAAGGGGGTTACAACTCAATATATAGATGAAGATGGTAAACCTTAACCCTAGAAAACACCTAATCCCTAAGCCTGTCGGTTCAATAAAAGCGTCGAGGTAAAGAACAAAAAAAAAACCCTCGAAGGAGTGTTACAATTCCACTCAACAATAAAAAGTAAATAAAAACTATATAACTAAACTATTAAACTATCTAATTAATATAAATTATTAATTAATCTTTCTGTATCAAAAATCATCAAGGATTATTGTCTTTCAACCCTTATGTCGTGGAATCCAGCAATTCGGGCGCTCAGCAGCCAAGGCGATTAGAGGGGAAGTAGTGAGCGTCAACCATAGCCTGCATTCATCAATGTGGAAGGAGACGCCGGCAAGTTGATTGGTAGCATCGGTGGCATGGTGCTAACGGGTAATTGCATTTGAAACTCCAATATTTTTTTAGTTGAGTTGGGTTGGATATGATTTTGGGAGTACAACTTTTTTCAGCTTTGATTACTAGTTTACTAGCATGGTTCCCTTATTTTTAAAATCACAGTTGTTGCTAACTTATGCTATAGATGCTTGTTTTGGGTTCATTGTTTTTATGATTCCCAATTGTTTAATAACATGACTCCTTTAAAATCTGCACATTTGATTCTATTTTAGTGGGCCTTTTAGTTGACTGCTAGGATTTTCTTGCTTAGCTTCAATTACATTGAACAATATGTATGTTTTGCTTGAGGAAAAATTCATTTTTTATTTTCTCTCATGTTGGCTATAGCATTTCATATTGGTGTGTTACTAGGTTGGACTTACGATTCAACTGTGATTTATGTATTGAACAATGAGAAATGCTAAATTGCAGACTCTACTGCACGAAGAACGCACTAATATGCCTAAGCAGGAACAAATGAAGAAATGATCATTTCCATCTTACAGTATGTCCTAGTTTAATACGCTTGGATTTGCTGGACACTCAACTTTAAAAAATTAAATAATGGAGATGAAGTTAAGCTTTCTCTGCATTTTATCAACTTCATGTGTATTATGTTGTCTAGGCTTACATAAAATTGCAGGTAGTTATTGATCGATAGAGTTGTTTGGGTATAGAGCTAGTGATCTATTTTACATAGGGAGTTTGCATTTGAAACTCCAATGTTTTTGGACCCGAGTTGGGTTGGATATGATTTTGGGAGTACAAATATTTTTTTCATCTTTGGTTACAGGTTTACTAGCAAGGTGCTCCCTTCTTTTATAAATCACTGTTGTGGCTACCTTATGCTATAAATGCTTGGCTTTGGTTCATTGTGAATATGTTTATGCTTTTCTTGACCAGGATGAATGAAGTTTATGTATTCCTTTAGGAGTTTTCTAATGCATCTTCAAGGTTGAGCTACACCAACCTTATTCATTTATCATATTGGACACAATCTGGTAGGTCATCTACTTCTATAAATATTAAGTGTAGAAGAGCCAAGGGGAACTGGCCTTCACTAGACACTCGATCACCTTGCTTCGTTCTCTTTGGAATTAACTGGAAAGAACATATTTATATTTCTAACTTCAGTTAAGCAGGATAATTGCCATACAAGGAATCTGCTGATGACTTAGAGCTTCAGTTAAGTGATCAACAAGGTTTGAGGTTTCTAGAGCTTTCGAGCACCATCAAGTGATCAACAAGGTTTGAGGTTTGATGGCACATATTTTTGAGCACCCTTTTACAAGAATTAAAGAGGTTAGGTGTTTTTTATGTTTCAGCTTGTGTTCTTTTATTCTATTTGGCCACTTCACATACATATGTAATAAGATTTAATTTTGTTCTTCAGGTGCAAATTAAGGGTGCTAGCGAACAACTCAAGTACCAATGGTGTTTCTCTTTTCTTAAGGTTGGTGTCTTTAATAATGTTTAAATTTTAAATTAATTCCTTGTATATAAAATTTCAGATTTAACATAAACAAATCACTAATTTTTTTGGAACCTAACCCAAGAAGCTAAGCCTAAAGGTACTCAAAAATACATCCAAACCTAAGAAATGTGTTTCATTTTTCAGCTTCCAAAATGTAACATAAAAGGAGAGTATGTAATTCTATACAAGCTCTTGTAGTCAATGCTAATTACCTAATCTCTATGTTCTGTTTTGTTTTCTAAATTTAGCGAGGTACAAGTTTCTATGCAGGATCATTGCATTATAGCATACCAAGGTTTCAACTTGTTGGGGCAATATAAAAGGTTTCAACCATTTAGCAAGCTAAGGCTGTGAGAGTAGAAGTTTCTGGCAAAGCAGAAAGCATGACCACTACAATGGACGACAGTATTTTAAGTGATACTTTGGCTTTGAAATAGTAAAAATTTTCTTTTCTAGATTAGCTCAGAATTTTATTAAGTTTTTACATGTGAGGTGTCTTGTTTTGTTCAGATTTTAGCTTGTTACATTATAATGTTTAGACACTGATGTAATCTTTACGACTACTATTTACTTTAATAAAATTTACTATTAAGTTTATCTATGTTTGTGTGTGTGTGTGTATTATAAACTCCATAAAAATGTGTGTGCAAGTAGATAGTTTGAAATAATTGCTTTAGATGGTGGATATTTATCCGATGTCTAAAGTCCGTTGTGTATTCAAACGATGGGAAAAACATGTTTTTAATAGCGGATATTTGTCCGCTATCTAAACTTTAGACATTGGATATGTATCCGATGTTTAAACTTTATACATCGGATATTTATCCGTTGTCTAAACTTAAGACAGCGGATATTTATCCGCTGTCTAAAGCCGTGACTTTTCCCATCGGCTGAATGTACAGCGGATATTTTTCGCTGGGTAAAGCCAATTTTTTCCGCTGTGTAAACCCTATTATGTAGTAGTATTAGGATAATTGAACTATATTCCAGTTTAAGGTACTCCTATATAATCCTTGAGCTAGGCCTAGTTTAAGATAGTCTTCAAAATCTTAAACTTACCTTCACTTAAGGCCAACCAGAAAGCGACAACGTAGTGTTCACTGTTGGGTTGCGTGGTACCCCCAAACGAGTAGGTACTCAAGTTTGGTTCTTGGATCCCGTACATACGTTTTAACCCTAGCCACCAGACATCATACCCGCAAGGCCTACCTTAAATGGATATACCTTAGACGTCTTCTAGATATCCTTAACAATACAAATTATTTTCATGATCATCAATACCTTCATTTTATTCATGATTTAATCATTCATAATCATTACTTTAATCAGAATATTCATCATCAATCAATAATATTCATCATAAGCATAAATTGATAATAATAGTCAATACAAATAACGGCCTAGCATCGAGTATTAACACTCTAGCTTACTGTCATGCATCATATAAGGTTAATGGATTTGTTTAAACATCATATTTATTTTCAGAAATCTCATATTGGTCATATTTGTTTGATATCAAGAATATGTTCTAAAATAAGTTTTCTCCATGACTTAAATTAATCTATTATTAGCTATTGACTTAAATAAATCGATTAATCAGAATGCATTAATTGATTAATCACCAATCCATTAATTAATAATTCATTAATTCATTAATCAACAATCCATTAATTGTTAAATATAGCAAATATATTACTCTTATTATTTAGAATATTAGTTATATAAAGGACCGTTCTAAACCTAATTTTATTTTTCCTCCTCCGCAGCCTCAGGCCACATCGCCGCCTCCTTCGTCTTCCTTCCTCTTGCCGAACGAGGAAATCAAATAAGTCAGGGAGATTGCCGGAAACCTACATCACCATCATCACGATTCATCAATCTTCTTCGTTCCTCTTTGCCGGTCGAGCATTGGACCGGAGAGGAAGCTGCGCCAGAGGAGGAATTCGCCGAACGTCGCCGAAAATCATTGCCAGAAAGTTTTATCTTCGCCAATCGAGCCTGCCGCGATCCAGCGTGTAGCTTGTCTTCTTCTTCACGTGAGATCGAATCGGCTTAAAAGTTCGATGCAGATTAGATCTGTTCATTTTCAGCCGCCCTGATTCCTTTTCCGGGTGCCAAACAAGCCAAGTGATGGTTCCAGCATATGATAGCTCCAAAATCCAAAATTGGATTGAATTGATCAACTCTAACGATTTGAGAATATATGTCTCCTTGGTCACTAATTCGATTCAAGTAATTTTCTTCTCACACGGTCCAGGTATTTCAAAATTTCAGCATCTTTGCATTTTAAAATTGCATGTTTAATTGCTTGAAATTGCAAACAAAAAATAGATTAGAGGACACTTTTAAATCTGATTGGATATTAAAATGGTTTAATTCATTTTTTTATTGAAAGAGCATTGTATGTTACTCAGTATTTAATTTTGTAGTTAATTAACATTGAGTGTCTAATCAGATTTTGAAACTAGATGATTGATGCTTCTGAACTTGAATAATTAAGATTGCATCTTATAAACCACTTTTTACTCTTACTTCTGAACATAGATTTGTACACAGTAAATGACAATCTTTATACATGTTTGAAAATAATCTTTTTATTAAGGCAGAATTGATTAGTACATATGTTCTTGGATTTTGAATGAGGACATTCTTTGCTAGATATTTTGAGTTAAATGATGTTAGCCTTGCATTTTGACTAACAGTAATGTCATGAATGTTGATCATATATCGGTTAGACGGTTGGAGTATGTTTTATTGAGCATATACATTGACTAGTTAGACCCAGAAATGATTTTGTGATTGTTGGACCCTTGGTCATATACGTATAAATTTAGAACTATTACTTTTAAAAGCTGTGATTGTATACAAGCATGGATATAGGTGCTCATGTGAGAAAAAATACATATTTATTCTCTGATCACAAAAGTGATAAATATTTTGTGCTTTTGTATGTTCATGACCTATAAAAGAGGATTTTCAAATGAAGTATCAAATTTTATCATGTTTTATCACATGAGGAGTTAAGTGTATATGTAAATTAAGATATCATAAGCACAAATGGCATTTAAATTTATTTGGATATGCATCATTGTAAAATGGTAGCTTCATTCATATTTTGTTTTTGAACAAAAAAAAGAGCATTAAAATTTGCAATTATGGATTATCTTTGTTTTTGATGCTAAGGAGACGAAAATGTGAATTTTAATACTCTATATTTGCCAAGTTTACACAACTCATGCTATGTGATTCCCTAGCTAATTTTTGATAAAGGCAAAATTTTGAATCATTCTCTTTATAACTTTTTTTTGGCACTATAGCTATATTTTACAAAAGTGTTAAGTTTTGCTCCCAAAGTGAATCAAATTGGATATTTATTCTAAATGTTCATATTCTCTAGAAGAGAATAAAGAAATAAAACTTTTCTTATGTATTTACCAGAAGTAAAATGGCCTAATGATTTTTTTAAAATACATTGTTCAATGCATTCTCTCCTTATGCAATGGTATTATATTTTGATGTGATATACTAATTAGTTGCAATAAAATTTGTGTGACCAATATATGTAATTGCATGTATATGTGGTTTGAGATTACAAAATAGTGTTTGAGAATCTAGTTCCTCTAAAGTGGTAGTGTAAAAAAAACCATATACTCCATATTTGGTTACATTTTTTTTCATTGTTATGAAAAAAAATTTTTGAAAAAAATCATGTTATATATTCATTCCCTACAGTGAGTGAAAAATTGATTGACATGCATGAATATGATAGCCTATCACAACTATTGTGGTTATACATATGGACACATGAAAGTCACTATTATGGTCACATAGAATTACATTTTTTTAAAATAAACAATGATTATTTGGATCTAAATATTCCTAAAGAATATTGAATTCTGAAAAGAAATCATTAAGATGTATAATCTCCTAAATTAAATAAGAGTCATCATGTTCATCAAACACATTATATGGGTATATGAGATACCTAAGGTCTTATAATATTTAATTACCACCTGAAGTGGCTTATTTTTAGTTAAAACAAAAATCTCATTATACAGACACGTTTTGATATTTCAAGACCTTTGTCCTAATCTATATATGATTCCTCATCAATATTCCTGAAGAATGATGTAGTAAATATATTATAATCAAAGTAGTGATTATACACATTATATTTTTTTAGATGAAAGAGATTCTTTTCTCTTGTAATTAAAGAAGTTAGTGTAAATATAATTTTCTTGTTATACAAGACTTATAGATAGCTCCAGAAGAGCATTGCAGAATAAGAGCTGCATAATAGAAGTAATAAAAGTCTCATAAATATTGAATATTTTGAGATGATAGTTAATGTCCTGCATTGACGAATATTCTTTTGGGTATAGACGTACAAATCCTTATTGTTTAAGGTGTCTCTGTTAATGTTTAAGATACCAGTGGAAATGAATATTACATGACACTTGATCGAGATTTGTTTTCACGTAAACCAGAAGTTTACGGAACCAATTTTTATTTTAAACATAACCAATTAAATTATCACAATTTAGTTTGTGATGTGAAGAAAAAATCATTAAAAACTCAAGTGAGTACTATCTGAAGCACTAGAAGTTTCTGTTATTATTAGGACCAGAAGATCCTAGAGTCTTGTCCTCATTAGAAGATTATTATGAGATTATTACTAATGAAACTTGAGATTCATTTCATACATATTTAGAAATAGTTCAAGGATAATTGATTGGGCCCATCAACTATTTGTGATGACAATTTATATGTTTTATATAATGCATCGTTATATTTGTCATATTTGTTGACAATTAACTCGTAACCCAAAGTTTATGATATTTGTCCATATATTATATTATGGACACAATTTATAGGTTATGTTGAACATCATTAGTCACAAAAGAGCCTGCAGCTCTAGTTAATATGCAGAGTGCATCGAAATAGTGGCTATACTTTTGATTATGAGAACAAATCATTTTATACTAGATTTTGAATCTTCATCTATGTGGTAATTATTTGGAGCGGATGCTTAATGGGCTTAAATTAAGATAAATTATGAAGATACCACAATGGTAGGTAGACACTGAGGGAAGGTTTTGAAGGAGTTGAATGGAAGATAAATTCCATGACATATGCTTGATTATATATATTCTTCAATTAAAGAAGATGTGAACCTGAAGTTCAAGAAAGAAGATTGTACTAAGATGTTGCAAATAAAGTGCTCATCATGAATTTTGTGTCAATTGTAAACACTTTGGTTAGAAGTGAATTCTTGATATTTTTCTCAACCATAAAAAAAATTGTCTTATTATAAGGAACCTGTAGTTCCAACATATGAGAACCTGAAGTTCTCC